TTGATTTTATTCGAGTGGACAATCTTATATGATTGAGTATTATGAAGCATGCACAAAGTACACCATTACAAGAAGGAAAGGGGTAGTAGTGTAAATTGATGCGATAGATGTTACAGACAATGTAGCTCGATCGATTACGGAGCAGTAGAACAAATCCTGCATGGTTTGCGCGCTTGTTTATCAAGGCCTGAAGAAGGCCGGGTGGGGACGGCCAGTGCCCTGGAAGGTGTTATTGAGGTGCTCGGGGGCGTTCTCGAACGAGTGCCGCCTCGCCAGCGACAGGATCTTCTTGTCCGCCGCGATGAAGTAGGCCATCCCGGCAACTGTTGAGATGATGAGTGCCTGGCCGGTGGGGTTGATGTTGGCCTTCGCCCATGGCAACATCCTCACGCTCGCCAGCTGAACAAGATCAGAGAACGGGTCTCGGAATAGTTAGATACGTACAATCTTTTGCTATCACGATTAATAAACATACATCCTCGGATAGATCGATGAACACTCACGGTGGGAACTGTCAGCCGGAACTCTCTCCGGTGGCCGGAATTCTTCTGGTGAACTCACTCACGTCTCAAAAGATGCAAACGAGACTCAAGAGATTTTTAGTGCTGTGCAAACCGCTACAGCTTTTCTCAATGTATAGGCAACTATATATACACATCATTGACGCTAAAACAGGAAAGTAAAAGAAAGGAAATCCAGAGATGCATACGGAGGAACAAGCAAGCTAATCTTGTCGTCCACCATACCATACGTGCATGTACACGTACGTATACCATACAAGGACGCGCTTGGGAGGAGAATTTCCATGCCAAGCTCAACGCTATCTGTAAAAAGGAAATAAGCAAAAACTCAGGATTACATGCTCTGCTTACATTTCACCCCCTAAGCCTGAAGTTCCTCGCCGATCTTGACAACACCCAGCTTTATACGCAGTTCGCAGAAACGATCTCGCGGGAGCGACTTCGTCAGAATGTCGGCGATCTGCTCCTCAGTGCGGACGTGCTCAATGTCCATCTTCCCATCTCCAACACAGTCCCGAATGAAATGGAATCTCACATCTTTGTGTTTACTTCGGTCATGGAAAACGGGATTCTTAGTGAGGGCTATAGCCGATTGGCTATCCATCTTTAGCAGGAAAGCTGTGCGCTGCTCGCTCTTCAGCTCTGCAAGCAACTGCGCCAGCCATATACCTTGACAGGCCGCTGTCGTCCCTGCAATGTACTCCGCTTCGCAGGACGATAACGCGACTGACCTTTTGCTTCTAGGACTGCCAAGTCACGGGGCAGGAGCTAAGAAAGAACAACAAGTCAGTGGTGCTCTTCCTTGTATCAATGTCGCCGCCCATGTCGGCGTCGTTGTACCCGTGCAGCTTCAGCTCATTGCCGCCACGCTTGTAGTAACAGCCGTAGTCGATCGTGCCCACGATGTAGCGTAGAATCCGCTTCACCGCGTTGAGGTGCTCGGTGGTGGGATTCTCCATGAAACTGCTGACGTAGCCGACGGCGAAAGCGATGTCCGGCCTAGTATGCACCAAGTACCAGAGGCAACCGACAAGGCTCCGGTACTCAGTGGCGTCCACCAGCGCAACTGTACTTGCCTTCGACAGCTTTAGGCGGGGCTCCATAGGAGTATGGCACGGATTGCAGCTCGCCATGCCCGCGCGCTCCAGAATCTTGCGGCCGTACGCCGCCTGAGACAGCTTGGTGCTGTCGTCACCCTGATGCACCTCAATGTCAAGATAAAAGCAGAGTAAGCCCAGATCACTCATCTTGAACCTCGCGCTCATCTCCCGCTTGAACTTCGCGATCTCGCTGGCGTCGTTCCCGGTGATGATGAGGTCGTCGACGTAGACCCCCCACCGGCAAACGAGAAGCGCCCTTGCTGTGAGCGTAGACAGCGTGTTCCGACGCGCTGTGGCTGAAGCCGAGTGCCACCAGCGTCTCGTCGAGCTTGATATTCCACACACGCGGTGCCTGACGAAGTCCGTAGAGTGCCTTGTCCAGGCGCAACACCTTGTCCTCATGGCCATCGATGACGAAGCCAGGAGGCTGCCTGATGTAGACCTCCTCGACTAGCTCGCCGTTGAGGAACGCGGACTTGACGTCCATGTGGTGCACCGGCCACCCCTCCTAGGCGGCGAGTGCCAGCAGCAGCCGCACTGACACGATGCGAGCTACGGGTGTGAAGACCTCGTCGAAGTCCACGCCAGGCTACAGGACGTACCCCTTCGCGACGAGCCGCGCCTTGTGCTTGATCACCTCACCGGCGGCGTTCTTCTTTACCTTGTACACCCACTTCAACCCGATCAGCCAGTGACCGAGTGGAAGGGGCACCAGACGCCATGTCCGGTTGCTCTCGATGGAGTCCATCTCCTCGATCATGGCGCGACGCCAAGAATCGTGCTTCTCTGCCTCGGCGTAGGTGGCTAGCTCCTCCTTGATCTGCAGATGGAGCTCAGCAGCTACCTGACGTGCAACGAGGCTAGGCGGTGATGCCACTCCGAGGTTGTTGTCGATGGTGCGGTACCTCGGCTCGACGTCATCATCATTATCTGTGTCCAAGTACTCCTCCACATTCGGAGGTGGCGAGACGAACTCGGGCTGGGGCAGCCAAGTTGTTGCCGGTGCTGGAGTCACAGGAGGAGTCGGTGCAGCGGGCGACATCACCGGTGTGCCCGCCACGGGTGTGCCGGGGCTCGCTGCAGGGGCTGGTGTCACCAGGGGCTCTGGTGCGCCTGTAGTGGTGTCGATGTCGACGTGCCCAGTGCCCAGCTCCATCGCGTGGTACTCCACGACGAGGTCCATAGTGACCTCCAAGTCCTCGCCTTTGTCCTTCTAGCTCCAGGACGTCGGCTCGTCGAAGACCGCATCCTTGGACACAAGGGCGCGATGCGTCGCTGGGTCATAGAAGCGCCATGCCTTGGCGACTCGTAGCCAATGAAGACAACTAGAGTGCCACAGTCATCGAGCTTCTTCATGTGTGGCTTCGTCGCCTTGACGTACGCCACACACCCGAATGTACGCAAGAAGCTGACATTCGGCCTGCGACCATGCCAAGCCTCATATGCGTCATGCCATCGACAACCTTGGTGGGCGCCCGATTCAGCAGGAAGACAACGGTGGCTACCCCCTCACCCCAGAACATCGCTGGCATGTTCCGGCTCTTTAGCAGACTGCGCACCATGGTGACGATAGTCTGGTTCCTCTGCTTGATGATGCCACTCTGCTACAACATGTATGGTGCCGTGTGCTGTTGCTCGACGCCGTGCTCGGTGTAGTACTCCTCGAACGCAACAGAGGTGAACTCACCCCCATTGTCAGTGCGCAGAACACGCAGACGCTGGCCTGTCTCCACCTCCACCTTCACCTGGAATTTCTTGACGACGGCGAGGGTGTCGCTCTTGGCAGTGAGCAGCGCCACCCACATGTACCTGCTCTTATCATCAACCAGTAGAAGAAAATATTGCTTACCACCGGGTGTGGCTGGCGTGAGTAGGTCGCACAGGTCGTGATGGACCAGGTCCAGCAGCCCTTCTGCTCATCGCTTCGCCTACAACGGGAACATACTCCTCTTCAGCTTGGTGGCAACTCAATCAGCGCAAAGCTGGTGGACGTGCTCAATGTGGGGGCAGCCCGTGCACCATGCCCCGCTGCTCGAGCTTGCGTAGGGCATCGAAGTGTAAATGACCGTAGCGCTCATGCCACAGCCACGCGCCGTTCGCTAGCACGTGCAGCCAGGCGAGTGGTCGCCCAATCTTGACGCGTAGCAGGTACAGCTGGTTCGCCAAGCGCTGGACTCGCGTTATCAACCGGCCCTTGTCGTCGCAGATCCGAAGGACGCCGTCCTTGGTGTGGACATCGCAGCCGCCTTCATCGAGCTGGCCGAGGCTGATGATGTTGGTGGTCAGCCACGGGATAAAGTACACCCCATGAGCGGGAGGTGCTCGCCAGTCTTGTCCTCGAACAACATAGTGTCGAATCCCTCGATCATGACCTCTGAGCCATCGCCGAACTTGATGGTGCTGCAGATCGCCATGTCATGTGGATGAAGGCGTCCTGGCACCCCGTCATGTGGTTGGTTGCCCTACTGTCGAGGTACCACAGGCTATCATCGCGCTCCGTCTCGCCATCGAGCTGCGCGAAGACTTTCCCCATGACGACGCGCAGGGGTCGGTGCTTGGACGTAGTTGGAGCCACGGCAGCGCGTGCTGGTGGTGTGCTGGGGAAGATGGTGGCTCAGGCCATCAGCAGCATGGGCTCCAAGTCTTCTTCAGCTTGCACGATGTGGGTCTCACCCTTTGGCTTGCTACGACAATCCTTGGCCCAATGACCGTTTTTGTCGCAACGCTTCCACTGGTCGCGGTTGGGGGCCTGTCTACCACCAGACTAACCCTTGTTGTCGTCGCGTGACGCGGAGCTAGAGCTCTCATATTTGCCACGCCCACGGCCACGCCCGCGGCCACCGCGCTTCTTGCTGCTGGCGCCGTTGGAGCTGCTCCCGCTTCCCTTCTCCTTGGACTCACGGAGCTTGGGCCTAGCGAGTCACTCCTCTTCATAGAGAAGCAGCTGGCCCTAGTTGTCGAGGCCGGGCATCAGCTTGTGCCGTTGCTCCACGACACGCAACCTGCCAGTTACCTCCTCGACGGAGATGTTGTTGATGTTGAGTAGGGTCTCAACGGAGATCACCACCTAAGCTAGGTGCTCCAACACGACCTACAACATCTTCCTCATGACCTCGGCGTCGGTGACGTTGTCGCCGAGGAGACGTAGATCAGCGGCGAGCCTGGTGATGCGGTTCGCAAAATCTTCCACGGTCTCCGCCTCCTTCCATACCAGGTCGCTGAACTCACGCCGGAGCTGCTGCGTGTTGGCCTCGCGCGCCCACTAGACCCCAACACGATCAGCTTGATTGTCGCCCTTGCTTCTGCTGCCGTCCTTTTCTCGCGAAGACCTGCAAGCATCTCAGGTGGAACGGATCGCAGGATCGTGGCGAGCGCCAAACAATCATGGCGGTAGACGATCTCCTCGTCTTCCTCCGGTAAGACAGCGTACCACCACCCCGCTGCCTCCAAGTTCACCTGCATCAACATCGCCCACTCCTGGTAGTTGGTGTGTGTGTGAGCATGGGGAACTTAGTGCCAGCGTCTTCCGCGGTGCGGTGGATCACGACCTCGCGGTGCCCTCTATGTGGTGCTGGAGAGGGCGAGACGCGGCAACCTCATCGCCCTCCATGGCCACCGGGCGGCGGAACAGATTGGTGGTCCATCCCTTCTCGTCGCAGCTTTGATACCAAATGTCAACCGCAACTCTCTCCGGTGGTTGGAATTCTTCCGGTGAACTCACTCACGGACTCAAAAGATGCAAACAAGACTCAAGAGATTTTTG